TTTTTATGGGTCAAATAGACTCAAAAAATTGTAACAGCAGCTGTGCAGGGGGGGTGAGGGGGGCAAAATAATTCTTTTCTCAGGGGGCCCAAGATTCCTGGCGATGCCCCTGGTTTACAGTTTAACTGATACTGAGGTTATCTCGTATCTCATATGAACAAAGATAACTTTTATATCTTTTGTTTGCTTGAATTCACTAAGTTAACATTTATATGGGTTTTTCCACAGACGTTAACGTAAAGTTGCTCCTGTTTTTGTTCAGTTAATGACTGTTATTTTTTCATGCAGAGGAAACAAATGTAACCGAGACATATTTGTACTAGTTGTTGTTTTTTTACAGTTTTACATTGAGTCTTAAGTAAAGCTTTGAAGGGAATCGTGCAGCTTTTCTGGACGATAATTTATCTGCAGACCTTGCCTACACATACAAGCAGGGGCAGAATAAGGAGAATAAGGATGAGCTGCGTCTCGAAGGCGGTGTCGGGTCCTAACAGACGATTTGCACAGCTGAATTGTTGCCACAGGAGATAACAGCATTTCTCAAACATGCATGAAAGAATCAAAACTCCAGGTATGTTTTTGATGAGGGAATAATATTATTACATGAAGAAAAGTTGTTTTTGCATAATAAAATGTACACTTTTAGATAATACAGGAGATCTTACCCAAGTGTGTCCACGTGTCCATCAACCCAGGTCCAGGTGTTGTTAGTTTGTTGCAACCCCAGCCAGTATCCCCACTGAATATCAAAGTAGGATTTGACATGTTTGCTGACAAATTCCTGTCAACAGATTTTTGTTTTTTACATCAGCATTAATTTCCTTACTTTGAGTGACCGATTTTCCAGAAACTTCCAGATTAGCTCTAGGCTTCTAGCATAGGTGGCGTCAGATTTTACCTGTTCCTCCAGATCATCAATTACAACCAAATCTGCTCGTCTGTCCTGACAGAACCTTCGACTTTGTTCCCAGGTCTTCCAAGGAGCCGGTTCGTCGTAAAACAGGTAGCATTTCTTCTGAAAGAAGATCCAGTCATGCAGGCACGGCTTACATCCTGGATCCATTAGACGATGGAAAAGATCAGAAAGTGAAACTTTGGTAAAAATAATCTGAAGTATACAAAATAACATTTAATGTGTTAATAATATTTAATGTTTCAATAGTCAAAATTGCTCTAGCAAAGATGTCAAAGGTAGAGCGCAGACCAGTATTGGAAGACGATTAAGTTAAGCTACTGTTCTATTTAGGAATGCCGTACCACAGGGCTTTATGCTCGGCTCACTCAAAAACTGTTTATAATTGAAGGTTACATAAAAAAAAATAAATAAAAATGAGATAAATAATCCAAATTTTCAAAGGTAATCTATAAATGTAATCACCTTTGGCAGGACAGAAGTCATTAATTGGAAAGATGTCAAATTTCTGGATGAATCCCAGGGTCAATTTCAGCTCCTCTGCCTCTCGGGTCGCCTCCTCTGCCTCTCGGGTCGCCTCCTCTGTCTCTCGGGTCGCCTCCTCAGTCTCTCGGGTCGCCTCCTCTGCCTCTCGGGTCGCCTCCTCTGCCTCTCGGGTCGCCTCCTCTGCCTCTCGGGTCGCCTCCTCAGCCTCTCGGGTCGCCTCCTCTGCCTCTCGGGTCGCTTCCTGTCTCTTTTGGTTCTGCTCCTCTCTTTTTCGGATCGCCCCTTCTCTCTTTTGGATCACGTCCTCTCTGTCTCGAATTGCTTGGCTCAGCTTCACCATCTGTCTTTCGTCAATCAGTTGCTTTTTTTCTGTTGTAAGGTCTTTAATGCTTCCCTGCTGTTCGCTCATCTTTACATTCACTATAAAAACACAAATCAGTCAGAAAGTCAGTGAATCTGTCTGTATATCAGACAATATTCTTAGGATAGAACCGAATGACATTTAACTGATTTTAATATTTCATTACGTTTATTTTTGGGAGCTGCATCGCTGTACCACTGATGCTTTGCAGCAATGAGGTCCTGAATCCCTTGGTGTCAGGATCTTGGGTTGCTTTAGTTTGTTCTGGGTTTTAGTTTGTTCTTTCTATTAGTTCAACATTGTTTCTACTTTTATTTCAGTTCGATTTTAGTGATTCTAGTTAGTGTGTCTAGTCCTTTTCTTAGTCATGGTGCGTTCACACAAAACTGGTTCCACGTTTCAGCTTTGACACGTTCACTTTTAATGCAAAAGCTTGTATTTGTCGGATGCGTTGGATGTGCTTGACGCGTCAAACGCTTCAGATGCGCCGCAACAGGCCCTCGATGCTCCTCCACATAGACTTTGAATGTAAACCAGACGCGTCTGATGTGAACGCACCATTACTCTTATTTTATTATGTTTCTTAAGTCTAGTTATTCTTTAGTGCTACATTTATTTAATAGTCCCCTGTGTACTCTCCCTCAACTGTCCCATTTCTCTCCTCACATCTGCAACCAGTTTCTAATCAGTCATCTGTTTCCACTGCTGGCTCCTTGGTTCCTGGCTGAACTGCTGGCTCCATGGTATTGGGCTGAACCGCTGGCTCCTTGGTTCATGGCTGCAGCGGTGGCTCCTTGGTTCCTGGCTGCAGCGGTGGCTCCTTGGTTCATGGCTGCAGCGGTGGCTCCTTGGTTCCTGGCTGCAGCGGTGGCTCCTTGGTTCCTGGCTGCAGCGGTGGCTCCTTGGTTCCAGGCCGCACTGCTGGCTCCATGGTTCCGGAGCTAGCGGCCCCTGAACTCGTGTCTACCCAGTGTGCCGAACTCCACAGAGCTCATCAGTCTCATGGCCAGCCTCAAAGCTTCTTCCTGGGTGAGATCCTGGGGTTCACAAGCCAGACAACCTCCTCTCCACGACTTCGCCTTGAGAGCTTCCATATTAAATTTTAACACTTTGACAGGTTTCAAGCTGAGCAGCATTAAGTTAAATTGATTCTTGGTGACACTTCAGTGCCCTTGACCTTTAGCCAAACTTCATAACTCCTCCTCCTGCTGGACGCTTGTATCCAATGCATTAGACCTCTAAAAACTCTAAAAGCTATTTAAACTGTATTGTGTTGAAATGAAACTCACTGTAGACGATTGATCCAGCTACCAGGATAGAAGAAATCCACAAACACCCCAAAAACAGACGAGAGTTAGAGAGTTCTGATCTTTCTTCTTCTGCTTCACCTAAAAGAAACAATGAACTTGTTATAATTCATCAGAGAGCCTGGATGCCTGTAGAGGAGATGTTGAAGATAACAAATAATTGGAAGTTGGTTAACAGCATTTCTACTTTTTGGAGTTTGTGGTTACCTGGCATATCAACAAATCTAGAAAATGTCAGCAGCTGATCTGGAATATGCCATGCCATCAACACTCAGAATAAGCTACTGTGTGGGCAGAATCACAAGTTGTATGCGGTCCTGCAGGATCACTGGCTAGCTACGCTTCCTGGACTTGCAGCTGGGAGGAAACAGACCTTGGGTAAACAGCAAACTCAACTGAGTCCAACTGACAGCAAATATGGCTGTTTGGAGCTGCTACTGAGTTGTACCAGTGAAACTTTACAATCATTGTTTTCTGAAATAGCTCCCCCTGTGTCGGCAGGGGAAGGCTGGCTATCTTAATTTCTCCTGGATGTTATGTAAACAAGATGCTTTGGTTTCATTACTTGCTCCCTTCTTTTGACATCTGTGGACCTGAATCAGAACTTTACCGATAGACGCTCCTTCACTTATTAAACACAAAGGCTGGGACGGCTATCTGGGACAGTGTTCGCAGACAAAAACACACACGCTCATAGCTATAAACACAACCTCCCTGCTGGGCTCCCTCCTCTTGCCCCCTGAGTATGGCAACCTGGTCAGAGGTGGCTGTGCCGGTCACTTGGGCGGACTGCACTTTCCTTGAAATTTGTCCCTTGGTCAGAGTAGATTTCAGCTGGTTTCCCACATTGTGCACTGAACCTTATAAGAGCCATTAACAACAAGTCTGCATCAAGGGATGTCAGTAAATTGATATGGTAAGCTCTAGTAGTGAGGCCTTTGAATATAATATCCCATTTCTTCTCTTCTCTTCTTGCTACTTTAACCAGAAGTGGACCAAAACACTTGGTAGAATAAACACCAGTGGAATAAAAAGCTGTGCAGCTGTGTTCATGATGCCTAACAGCCCCTCACCCTTGGACAATCGATACTGCGTGACAAAGCAATACTCTGTCTGTGCCAGGATGACAAACGATTGTCAACATCTCGGATAAGCACCTTAGTGTACGGATTTGTTTTCCTTGGGAATATTCTGTCAAATATGTAGACGTATTCAAAATATATCCGGTACTTCTTCAATAGCTGATAAATAGATTTTGTTTGTATTAATAGTCGTTACTCAATTGCTCTACATACTGATTACTGTTACAAAAAGAAAGTAGGGTGCACTGATTGCAGTTCTCTGGCCGATCACTGATTTTTTTGATAGACATAACTAAATGCAGCTCAACTGTTTTACAGTGTGGGTGTGAATGTTACTTTTTAGTCTTCATAAAACATGTATGGAGTCACTTACGATTGTCATTGTCAGTAGAATTGGAGTCATCGTCCCCGCTGTTCTTCATCCTTTACAAAGAAAATAAGTATTAGAAAAAGATATTAGAAAATATCTTTTGCTTGAAGGAGCCCAGCTGTAGCTCATGGGAAAGCAGGCGGTTTCCTCTTCCCCTTTTGAAAAGACGTCATGGTCCTCAGACAAACACATCTGCTTCTGTAACAAACCTTTCTTGTCTGTAGTGGCGGCTTATTCGGTTCAGTGTAAGCCACTATATTGTTTAACAAGCTTCCGTTTTCTTTCGTTGACCTTCATTAGCTTAGCTCTCAGTTGACGCGTTTCTGTCCCACGATATGTCTTTGTGCATCTTTCAGTGAATTAAAGAAGTACTTACAACATCCATACAAAGTCTGACGAACTTTACTTTTCTTTGAGCAGATGTTACAGATGATTATTTAATCTTGCACAGCATTCCACATGAAAAGTAACGTAACGGTCAAAAAACTGTGTGGAGTTCAGTTGAATGCGCCACATTCAACTTATCACAGCACTTATCACATAATTTCAATTACGTCCATTAGGTGGCGCTTTTCTACAAAAAACATAATGAAATGGAATCTTATTAACAAAATATCTAAATATGCAAACAGCATACACAATCATAAACAATGTTACAAACTGACATTTTTGGCTCTTACATTGTCAATAGCTGACTCGCATTCTGTCTCATTAACATTTCTGCAATTCTCCTGCCATTGCGTACAGAGTGCATTTAATATACCTAATAATCTTTGCTCTTGTACAAGATACTTTAATAAAAAATCTGCCAGATACTACTATGGTGAGTAGGCCAGTTAATGTAAAACATTAACTCTGTCCTATTTTCTTCTGATGAGGTGGCGGACTATTGAACGGACATTTAAAAAACGCGCGGATGTAGAATGCGTCAAGGTGTGTAGTGTCTGTCTCTAGGCAACCAGGACAGCAGTTCCTGCTGGCAGCGCCGTTATGCAGCGGACCGGGAGGTTTTGGTTGGTCCCGCCACGACATTTCTACTGACCTTTCCTACGTTTCATTTTAATGTTACATTTAGTGTTAAATATCTATCGGATATTTGTGAAAATACGGAAAAATCGCGCCCTGTATCGGTTCAATATGGAACTCAGCCTAATTAAGTACCAAATAAAGGACGATTTCACATTTTACTGGACAGTGGCAACCCTAGAAATGACTCAAATCTTGCTGGGGAAATAAGAAATATTGTACAATGATGTCACAATTGAGCTGTCCTGTATTTTGTAAGTGCTGAGTTGTCAAGCACTGCCGTTAGCATTTAAGCTAACGGCAGTAAACAGTCACTTATAAATATCTCAGAATATAATTAATGTTAATAAAATACTGTCCTGAACTTAAAAACACTTCAAACAATGGTGCCTATCTCTTAGTTATAAACACAACCCACCTTCGAAAATAGTAATCAGCCTCTTATATGCCCTCAGGCAAGGTCAACGGATCGCTCGGCGTATAGATAGTGTTCTATTTAATGGCGGACTCGCTGCGCACTCGGCGGATGTGCACAACGTACGCGCTCTATTCGAATCGTTCTTCGGTTACGGCTGCATTCGGAGCGTCTCCAGCGGCGGACCGTTACTTCTTTTTAAAAACAATTAATTTGTGCTTGTCTGTGCAGATGAGAAGCGCTTACGTTCACCTGTCTGTTTTGCTGTTTAATTTCCCGTTTCTCTTTATTCTTTACTACTATTTTCTTCCTTTTTTACTTCCTTATAGTTGCTACACTTTTTGACGCGTGTTTTACGTCTGCATTGCTTTGGGCTATTTTAACCACTCAAGTATTAGACGTTCATCTAATTCGGCTCCTTTCCAGTTATTTTTTAACTATTATTTTATTTATAAATGAACATATATCATATATTGTGTATGCTTGTTTATTTATTTTAGTCATATATAAATGAACTACATCACACTATATATATATATATATATATATATATATATATATATATATATATATATATATATATATATATATATATATATATATATAGTACATATATGTTTCCTTAGGGACCAATAAAGTGTATTCTATTCTTCTTTAACATATTTTAATTTTTGTAAATTTCTTTGCTTTTATTTAAATGATGGAAATTTCACAGTAAGTAACTTTGTGTTATTTCATAGCTAACTACTATTCAGTTAGAAACTCCATTCAGCTTGTTATCAGGTAACAAGGCTTGAGACTATCTTCAAATAAATTAGCTGTTTGTTACCTGTTCCTGTTTTTCTAAAATCTCAGTTTATTCTTTGTTTTTTAAGTTGCAGGACTGGATTTGAGGATCCCTGAAGTAGACGGTCGGGCTTCTGAGGATACATTCTCTTCTTGAAGTTGACCTTGTCATTCTAAAGTATAATATAAAGATCTGAATGTTAGAACAAGGCCTCCCTCCAGCCTTGGACTGCTTGCTCTCTACACCAGTCCACAAGATGCTCTACTTCTCCTCTGTAATCCACTTCATTGTTGTACTGAATGAGGCCCACAATTATCTTATCACCTGGATATTTCAGGATGTGATAGGTGTTATAGCTGGCAACAATGTACAACACAATGCATAAATGTGAACATCAATATTCACATATGTTTAAGCAGTTTCTCAAATTTACACCAGTAGTTTTTCACAGGGCCAGATTTTAGAAAAGGCTCACAGGGGCAGTAGACAATGTCTTTTTCTTCTTTTTTTAAATGATTGCAGGTGTTGTAAACATTGTTCTTTATAGAAAACCCATAGGTCCAAATGAGATGAATTGTATTCATATTTTGGGGATTTTTATGCAACAATTCAAGTATTCAAGTATTTGAAAATGAATCAGTTTCAGTCAGTTTCTTTGGAAACATCATGGAGTTAGCGGCAAGAGGACGCATTAAGCCTAAGATGCATCAGTTCACCTGCTGAGTTTGACCTATTCATGTTCTGTAATTTGTATTAGTAAAATAATTTTTCTTCATGGCACCGAAGGAGACAAAAATAATCAACCAACAAAATAATTTTACATATTTTATTAGACAAAAAATAAGCATGCAGTTGTTCACTAATAAAGTAAATGAAAAACAGAATATAATAAATACAAAAGCAACAAATACATGAGAAATGACTGCATGTGTTGCCTTTTATAAGTGCATTAAAATAATAATTTACTCTGATGAGCAAAGTTAAAGGCTGTTCATGCAAAATAATATGTTAATTAATGTGAAGATGTTGTGGTTTTAGTAAGCTCCTCCTAATGAAACACAAACACAATGGTTAAATAATCTCTAATACATATATTTATAAACTATATGGACATGTGATATGTCTTAATACCAAAAGTTGCTGAAGTGTAATAAAGTGTGTAGAGAGTGTAACAAAAATTATTGTACGGTAGATTTCTAGCTAGTAGAGGCAAACATCAGGGTTTGGTCCACTCCAAAAAACAAATGATCTGAAACCAGATCCTCCTAATGTGAACCCAATGTGGACAGGAATCCACATTATGTCAAAATAAGCTTTGAATCAACTTATGCTTTGGGTTTATTTTAAATATATTTTCAGTCCTAAAGAGGAACAACTTGAACATAAAGATGTTGATAGGAACTTTTTCTCGCACCTATATAAAAAGACCACAGACAACGTATATGAATTTCATAGACAAAGCTTTTGCAAAAGAACTCTCCATCAACAACCTCATCAGCCGTTCACAGAGAATTCTGATCTCCTTCCACGCGAGCCCCTGTTTTATTGTCAAGCAGAACAGCCAGAAAAAAAAACAACAGAGGTCGTAAAACATTTAACCTAAACAAACCAGCCAGGTGTGATATCTGATCTACGGTCTGAGCCCAGTTCAGCTCTAGGTCAAACTGTCAACAAAGAGGGAGGATAAACAAGAGACAAAATACGACTGCTCACAGGCAGTTAGGAGGTATTCTGGTTGATAAGAATTAAGGTCTGGGAAACACAGAGTTAACTGTCTCACATGAAGATGAACAGACAGTTGTAACCTCCAGGTCAGTTTATACACACATAAGGAAGAGAACACTTTAAACAGAAAATCACAATAATACTGATTAACATTAGACTGAATATGAACTAAATTAATAACAAAATGATAATACCAAAAGGCAGTCGTAACCTCCAGGTCAGTTTATACACACATAAGGAAGATTAACATTAGACTGAATATGAACTAAAGTAATAACAAAATGATAATACCAAAAATCTCTATCATTTCCCCCCTTTTTATCATTTTACTATGTGTG